CTGTTCTAGGCCTGCTACAGTACTTCAATGAAGGAGATGATCAACTAATGTTGTACAGTAGATTCATCCTTTTCAAATCATACAAATTTCTATACTTTATGTATTCATTAATTTTCGCTACTTCAAATACACCATAGCTATAGTTTTGGAAAAGTATTCTGTTAATTCATGCTGAGTGTCTGCCTTGTGCATATGTTGGCATTATGCTTTCAGGATTAAAGGTCACAGTCTTCTGTGACATCATTCTTCATATTAAAGAAGCATGCATGACTTTCAACTGACTGCGCTTTCATTTAACATCACTATAACTAGCACAACTAGCTTTCCCTTAAAATACATCTTTACTATTTGACTGAATTGCTATATGGTAGCAAATTCCACTTTATTATAAATATGTTTTTCAGTCTATGCCTTATCAAACAGTACAAGCCCCATCTAGTGATTATGTGTGCACTCAACTCCATGTCATGCCTCCTTCAGCCATTACTGCCAGCTTAACACCAACAATGTAGAAACATGAAAACTACATTGCAGACTGAATGAGTTAAAGGACATAACCTAATTTTGGGTTTGTTACCCCACTTAAGCATCACCTCTGACATTTGTGTCAACTGAATGCCTTAGTTTGGCTTTTAAGGTTATTAAGAGGCCACCTGTGATACCACCGTTGTTAGAAGAGCATTCTGTTTACCTAACTCATTGCTCAAAATCATTCAGTGATGAATACTGCATTGATTGTAATTTTATTTATATGGCCCTGTCTATCTCTGCAAAAAAAAGTCAGTTCTAGTTGGTTTTTCACTTATTTTGTGTGTGTGCAATTCTGACAAAAATACTTAACTGCACAGGTACCACTTAAGCTCCTATTATAAAGCTGAAGTAAATGCTACGTTATGTCTTAATACTCTTTGCTCAATAAAAACTAACTTTGCAATTTTTCTAATGTTGCTCTGGCTTTACTTTAATTTGTTCTTCAATGTATAAATTTTGCTTTCTGGAGGTACATTCTGGTGCATTGAATGTCTTCTTTCAAAATGCATGGGCTTGTTTTAACTAGCACGCTGCTTTAGCAATCAGCCAATTTGCCTTGAGTGAGAGGTAAATTACACATAGTGTAGTGAAGGAATGCTGCAAGTAACAGCTGCTGTAAACAAGTCCATCATATTTAGCACACATTCTAGAAATAAAAAATAGATTTTCTTTTCCTGGCGTTATTTTCCTGTGTTCATTTGTGAAGGCGGTAACTTTTTGCTGGTACGCAATTCCTCCAACGCCTTATTCAGATGATGGTAATTAGTGTAAGCCCCAAGTGTGAATATTGGCAGATTATTCAATTTAAGTAGCATCACAGCCAAGTACCCCCCAACATAAACAGGCACATTTTTAGCAAGTTTATGTACAGTGAAGTAGAACTCTGGTTGAACTTCCTGCCTCAGCAAATTTGGCTGTTTGGGAATTAGAACTAGGATTGTGCAGGTTTTTGTTGCTCAGCTAGTCACTGGATGCATCTAATGATCCATGGAAGGAGCAGTAAGGTCATGTATGTATACAGTGTTCTTTCGGATTGTGTGAAATAGCTTGAGTTGTAAAGCTCTGAAGTTGTAATGTGCATTGTTTTACATTTCTATTTTGTTTAAAATCTACTGGAAACAGCCACTACCTTTTAAAATGAATAGTGATGCTTTGTGGGTGTTGCAGGATTAATTATGCAATGCATTTTAATTTCACGAATAAGTTAAAAGACTGAATTTCAAAATGTATACTCACCTAGTCTATTTGTAAATATAAACTCAATTTTTTAAGTTACTTGTGCATCAGTCGAGGGAGTGAGTATCACCTCATGGGGTGCAATGTGTAATTTTATGAATATTTGAAGATGGAATCTTCATGGATGCAACCTGGAAAATGATACTCATGAGTCCTGTATTACTGTATAGAATTGAATACAAGAGAGGTAATGTGCAATTATTTTAATACCATTAGGATTTATTTTCTCAGCAAAAAATATAATATTCATGATCAAAAAATTTGTTCGTTAATCCAGTCTGCCTGATAAGGATTATGAGTAAAACAGCAACTACCTTGACAGGAATTGTGGTCTTTTAGAAACGAGAAACATTTTCTCTCACTGTGATTGTGGTTAAAACTTATTCCACTTCTGTACGTCCTCTCGTACAGAAGGCACAGTTTATTCTTTCTCCTCTTGAAATTTTGGTGAAATGTTTGTTAATAAAGTGCTAAGTCCTTATGATTGTAACAGGCTTTGCATATAAGGTTTCACCTGTGAAATCTTGACTTATATAGACATGTATATTGATCTTAAATGTCACTCATACCTTTACAATGTAAAATTTAAATCTGTGAAAACAGTGCCTTCGCATCTTAATTCCATCATTAGTTTGATTCATAAAACCAAAGTTTAGCGATCTTGTATGCATGTATATAGCGTGCGTGTGCATGATGTTTAATCTATTGAGTTTCTGTCAATTCATACCCATTGATTAGAAAACATGCTCCAAGGCATTAGACCCCTGCATATCTCAAGGAAGAAAGTTTTACAATCCACTTATCTAAAAGAACAATGATCATTTTTGACTAATGAATGTACTTTACACCTTATTCTGCAGGTTACCATTGACTAGAAATTGAACTGGACTAGCCATGTAAATACTGTGGCTATAAGAGCATGTCAGATGCTTGGAATCCTGTGGTGAGTCATTCACCTCTGATTCCCCAAAGTCTGTCTGCCATCTGCAAAGCATAAGTCACGAGAGTGATGGAATGCTTCCAGTTGCCTGGATGAGTGCAGCTCCAGCAACGTTCAAGAAACTTGAAACAGCCTGCTTGATTGGCGCTGCATCTTCAAACATTCAGTCTCTATAGCCCAGGCTCAAAGCAGCACTGTGTACCATCTACACAATGCACTGCAGAAATTCTCCAAGGCTCCTTAGACACCATGAATAAAAGCAATATACTGCAGATGCTGGGAATCTGAAACAAACAGAAAAAGCTTGGGAAGCTCAGCAGGTTTGGCAACATCTGTAGAGAGAGAAACAGTTAATGTTCAGAGTCCGGTCTGAGTCTTCTTCGGAACATCCTAACTCTGTTAGTTAGCTCTTTCTCCTTGTATGGATGCTGCCCGATCTGCTGAGTTTTTCCAGCTTTCTCTGTTAGTTCGTGAGACGCCATTCTCAGCTTCCAGTTGCTTGCCATTTCAGTGCATCATCTTATTCCCATGTGAACATTTCCACTCTAGAACTGCTGCCATTTTTCAGTGAAACCCAAGAGAAAACAGCATTCATTTTCTGCCTAAGCTATAATAGCCTTAAGGACTCAATAGTGAGTTCAGTAACTTCGGTGCATGAACACTGCCCTCCACTTTGATGACACTTCTTTTCTCCTCCTTCACTCCACACGGTCTTGTTTGAACGGTTTGTTCTCAGCAGTGTTGATCTAATTTCTGCTATTCACACATATCATTAACACCTGTTCTGCATCTTAATCTCTCTTTTACTACTATTAAAACTTTGTTGCTGGTACTGAGCAAAAGACACAAACATCTCACTCACTCACTCCTCCTCAACCTTTGTCAACATCCTTTTCCAGCCCCTTTCAGTTCCAAAAAAGAATTATTGGACTCTGTTAATTCTGTTTATCTCACCAGAGACTTTTTGAAGACTGAACTGATATGAAGTGTTCCCTTTATCTTTCTAAATTCTATACTAGGAGATGTATATGACCCTTTTGGCTTTGCTAACTGGCCTATGAAATCCTAATGACTATTCATATCTGCATTTATATTTATCACATTAATCCGTCCTACTTGAATTTTGACTGCCTAAAAGTTTGGAAAATGTTGGTGTTGCTCACTCATTAAGGATAAATCTGAGCTATAAGGTCTGTTACTTCCAGTTCCTTGGAAAGATGTAAATTAACAAGAACTTTCATTTCAATTTTGTGTGTGACTCCATTGTATGCACCCAAGTGATCCACAAGTCAAAAGTCCCCATGAATGAATTTTTTGTTGTGTTGATATCTTCCTTGCAAATAACGATCAGGAAAGATTAGAAAACCCTGCTGCCAAATTGCTATGTCCTGATTGCACTTGGTCAAAATCTATCCTACTTAACACTTTGGGAACTCTGTGATCTGTTTGCTTCCAAGATTTGAACATTACAGTTTCACAATACATAATTGCACAAGTTCGAGGATGTGAGAAAGGAACAAGTTTTATTTGAAAATTTCCAAAGCCATCCAGCCTTTGTGTGTACTGTGAGCTGAATGCAGTTTGAAGTTAGTTTGATGCTCTGTTGTACATCGTTAAAATATACTCTGTGCTGAAAATGATGCTGAGCGTTGGGTGTCTGCATCGATGCCTATTCTGTTCCTTAATTGCAATAAAGTAGTAAAACTCTGCATCAAGTTTCATTTCTACATAACATGAAATTCTTGTTTCTTGGTCCTTAGCAAGTCTGTTGCGGTGGAGACCATGATGCTATGAGATGTGTAGACTCGTTTACCTGATTTCTCCCAATTTAATGGTTGTTGTGATGTTCATTTTAGCATTAATAAATATTTCCTGCCAAGTTCCTAGAAATTTTCTGAATAGAAATATAACATTTGCTATCCAGAATATATTTTTAATTTTTCATGAGAAGTGGGTATCACAGGCAAAGTCAGCATTGGTCTCACATCCCTTATTGCCCTTGAGAAGGTGGTGGTGAGGTACGTCCATGTGGTTTAGTTGCACTGATAGGGCTGTTGTGGAGGGAATTCCAGGATTTTGATCCAGCAACAGTGAAGGAACAATGATATAGTTCCAAGGCAGGATGATGTCTGACATTAAGGAAGGTGTGAGGTAAAATAAAGACGGCAGTAAAGTGGAAACATTTGAGAGAAGTACTGTTTCAAGCTTTATATAAAAGTTGTAAATATTAATTACTGCAAATTTCTAATTCAGTGCAATTATTACAATTATTTTAAATTCCTTATTTCAACAGAGCCAACAGTCATCAGGGGAAGACATGGAGATATCAGATGATGAAGCAAATACAAGCCCAATAACCAGCGCAGAATGTTCGGAAACTATTGTGGTCAGCTCTTCTGCTTCTGCAATACCCATACCACCACCAGGATTCCATCCACTACCCCCACCACCTCAAACTGGATTTCCATTGCCACCACCTCTTCCTCCCCCTCCACCACCACCTCCAACTCATCCGACTGTTGCTGTTCCCCCTCCTCCACTTCCTGCGCGACCAGACCTGTGCCCTCCTGGAGTGCCACCTCCACCCCCTCCGCCACCACCTCCACCCCCACCACCACCACCACCCCCTCCCATGCTCCCTCACCTTCATCCATTCCCTCCCAACATGTATCCACTGATGTCTATGGACCTAATGAACTGCATAGGCAACCATTGGGGAAGCATGCAGATGTCGTTTCAGATGCAGACTCAGATGTTGAGCCGTATGATGCAAGGTCAAGGGCCATCTCCTTACCCACCTTTCATAGCTGGTGGAATGAACTTGCAGTTTGGAAATATGCAGCCATACCGCCCATATCTTATAAATTCAAGCCTAGCTCATGGTCAGCAATGGACTCCATTGCCAAAGTTTGATCCCACTGTCCCACCTCCTGGGTATGAAGTAAAGAAAGAGGATCCTCACAAAGCCACCATTGATGGAGTCCTTTTGGTGGTAATGAAGGAACTTAAAAGCATAATGAAGCGAGACTTGAATCGCAAAATGGTTGAAATGGTGGCATTTAGGACGTTTGATGAATGGTGGGAGAGGAAAGAACGTAAAGCAAAGGTAAACCACTCTTTTTTGCATGTATGTTTTAGGATTGAAACCTCTCCTGTATTTTTCAGATAATGCTGACATTTTGTTTTTGCAATTTATTTAACTATTCTTTACTTGTTCATCACAAAAAGGATTTGCATATGAATAGTTCTCCTGGTGGCAGCATGAGAATATCTCTTTCATTGGGCATGCCTTGATGTACAGGATACAACTTTATGATTGATAAAGCTATGAAAAAACTTACATATGAAAATTTAGTTCGCTAGTTTATCAGTAAAGATACTGGAGCCCAGACTTTCTGGTTTGTGTTATTTTAGTTCTGACATTAATCTGTGTACATTGTTATCACATTGAAAACCTAGGCTTTGATATCTTATTCATGATTGCAATGATTTGGTTTTAAATTGTGCTTCCTATGCTGTAAAGCAAGGGTTTCAAAAATATTTGTCTGCAGCTTTTCTGAACTAAGAATTAAATTGTTTCACAATAAAATATTATCCCTTTGATGTAGCTGCTCAGCGCAAGATTAACCCTGGTTTAATAGAAAGACATCAATACGTACTAAGGCCATACAAGATGAAACAAATTGCTCCACATGAATAGATGCATATTAAACCAAATAATTGTCTCCTTTTGGGACTGTTGCATTATTTTTGCATAATAGCTCAGTTGTTTCTTTGGAGTGTGCTAGCTGGCAAAGGCCTTATTCTTCACAGGTTTTTTTTAAGCAACGTCTTATTACTCGAATTTGATGGCTTCCAGGTGTTTAGTTTGACAGCCAATGTATGAAGTTATGAAAACCATGCTAATAGTTTGGCTACTGTGTAAGGCACACTTACAAATAAAAGAAATTTGAATGAGAACAATCCCAACTGAAGCAAACAGGAAATTATCAGTTGAGGTTATTGCTAATTCTTTGCTGCCTGAAGATACTGGTTTCTGATTTTTTTTTCTATTTGTATCATGGTCTGGTACACACAACTAAAGGACTTCCTCCTGCAAAGCTTACTATCATCTAATTGAATGTTATTAGGAAACATAGTGGCCTGGATATTGTGGGCTATGTGGGTAGGATGAGAAGCTGGAAAGAGGTCTTGGGGCATTGCAGAATTGTAGGAGGTTGGTTGGATAAACCAGAAGTTTAAGTTTAAGTTTCCCCAGATGTGGTGCAATTTTAACCCTTTCATCCCTGCTGACTGGTTCCCAACTTGTAAGACAGTCCAATTCACAAACCAGAGTATATGGATTTAAATAATTGTCAAAATAATCAGAAGGTATATCAGATTTTTTTTTCAATTTAGCAAGTTTTCATGATCTAGATGCATTGCCTGGAGGGATATTGGAAGCAGATGCAGTTGTAACTTACAAAAGAGGAATGGAAAAACATAAGGTAAGATTTTCATAGGCACTAGGAAGAAACAGGAAAATTGAATCATTTGTATTCTTGAACAATTCCTACAGACTGGAGGGTAGCTAATGTAATTCCATGATTAAAAATGGAGGTAGAAAGAAAAGAAAACAGGGATTTATAGACCAGTGAGTTTGATGTTGGGAGTGGGGAAGATGCTAGAGTCCATTATCAAGCACTTGGAAAACACTTAAATTAGACACAGTCAGCATGGATTTATAAAAGGGAAATTGTGCTTGACAAATCTATTGGACTTCGAGGACATAACTGGTAGAGTTGATTGAGGGAGCCAGTGGAATGTGGTTTATTTGGACTTTTAGAAGGCTTCCAATAAAGTCCCACATAAGAGATTAATGTGCAAAATTGAAGCACATCAGATTGGGGGTAGAGTACGGAGATGGTTAGAAAACTGGTTGGCATAGACGAAACAAAAAGTAGGAGTAAATGGGTCTTTTCTGAATGGTGGGCAGTGACGAGGAGGGTACTGCAGCAGTTGGTACTCGGACCTCCACTATTCACAACACATGTTAATAATTTAGATGCGGGAGCCAAATGAAATATCTCAAAATTTGCAAATAAAATTTGCAGATTGGAGACACAAAACTGGATGGAGGGGTGAGCTGTGACAAGGGTGCAGAGATGTTGCAGTGTGATTTGGACAGGCTGAGTGCGTGGGCAAGTGCATGGCAGATGCTGTGTAATGTAGATATTTATGAGGTTATCCACTGTGGTAGCAAAAGTGGAAAGGCAGATTATTATTTGAATGGCTGTAAATTGAGAGAAGAATGTTCGGTGAGACCTGGTTGTCCTTAAGCACCAGTAGCTGAAAGTACGTGTGCAGGTACAGCAGGCAGTAAAGAAGGCAGATCATACGTTTGCCTTCATTGTGAGAGGATTCGAATACAGCATCAAGGATGTCTTTCTCCAATTAAACAGGGCACTGGTGAGGTCAGACTTGAAATATTGTGTGCTGTTTTGGTCTCCATATTTAAGGATGTTTTTGATACAGAGGGACTGCAGCAAAAGTTTACCAGACTGATTCCTGCAATGACAGGTTTGATGTATGAAGAGAGATTGAGGCAGTTAGAATTGGATGCACTGGAATTTAGAAGAATGAGGAAGATCGCAAAGAAACCTATAAAATTCTAACAGGACTAGACGGGTTAGATATAGAAAGGATGTTTCTGATGATGGGGGAGTCCAGAAGCAGGGGACAAGTTTAAGGATAAAGGATAAGCCTTTTCAGACTGAGATGAGGAGAAATTTCTTCACCCAGATAATGGCAGGCTTGGGGAATTCACTACCATAGAAAGTGGTTGAGGCCAAAACATTGTGTTTTCGAGAAGGAAATAGATATAACTCTTGTGGCTAAAGGATATGGGGTGAGGGTGGGATTAGATTATTGAACTCCATGATCGGCCATGATCATAACGAATGGTGGAGCAGGCTTGAGAGGTCAAATGGCCTACTCCCACTTATCTTCCACATTTCTATGCTTCTTTCAAGGAGTTAGCACAGACATAACAGGCTAGATCACTGTCTTTGGTGCTGTGAGATTCCAAGTTCCTGGAATAATAAGATTTAAATCAGAAGAGCAAGGCATGATTGATACAGACAAACCAAATCTGGTTATAAGTTAATGGATCAATTATATTTTGAGTTTATAACAGGAAGTAAAATGGGTCTGCATTCAGTGAATGGCTATTAGTGGTAGAAAGCTTAGTGCCTTCATACAGTCAGATTCCCACTGTTCTGAAAAGCCTGAGATCAGTAAATTATCTTATGATGCAAATACATAGTTCAGGGGGAGAAAGATCTTAGATCAAAAGATTTATAATTAGTTTTTGTTGTAAATTGCTAATTGGTAAAGGAAACTATTTTTAAGGGTTAGTTGATTCTTTTCAAGTCGATGATTGGTGAGGAAAAAGCTGAATTGCTTATAATTGATAATAAATTCAGTGTTGTCAGATTTCTGTATTGTCCCTTGACAGTTTTGACATTGTACTATAAAGTCAGAGCTGCTTGACCCAGGTTGCTTGGGGGATTCTTGGCTTTTGTTCTGCTTGCAAATCATGACATTATTTTTAAGGATGTCTCATTTAATGCATCAGTGCTCCAGAGTTTATACTGGAAACCTCTAACCAGTTTTGAATGGGGGACCATTTAATCAGTTTATTGTCAGTGTCTTAATTCATTGATGTGCAGTTCAGTAGGTTTTAATGCTGGTGAGTGAAGTGCATGTTGTTGATCTTGCAGTAAGCAGCTGGTATGGCATTTGATATTCCACTCTGCTGAGACACAATTCACACAGGTGAGCAACCCCAACATTACTAATAGGCTGGGGGAAAAGTGACTGGCCATATCTGTCTGGCATTGTGTTTTCAAGGTGCTTTAATTTCAGTTGTGTTGTCATGTCATAGGTTAGGTTGATGTTTCAGAGATAGCATTGCAAGACCTGTTGAACAACTTTCCTTAATTAAATCATATATTCCTAATCAGATCATTTTTTAAATAAATTCTTGGGTCTAAATTCAACTACTCCTTTCTGCTGATTTATGCAGGGACAAGTGAATGCCTTTTCAGTCTACTCAAACTTTTAAAACATTAGAACAACTGATCGGCAATGGCTTTATGAAGACTTTTGGAACTTGTGTACCTTAATATTTATGCCTAGTTATGTCTGTGGGTGTTTGGTCTTCAGTTTTTAAAAAGTTGGTCATCTGACATTACTCAAGTCAACCTCGAGATTTATTGGCACAAAGCTGGGTAGTCTATCAGTTGGGATAATGGTGTGTAGAATTAAGTGACCAACCAAAGATTGACAGAAAATTTAAATGGCGAACAATATAGTCAAAACAAAACTAAATTAAATAAGATTTTCCTTCAGTAATAGAACATGTTATTAATTTCCATACAAGCAGCAAAGATTGCATTATTCGCAGTGTTAAGTTTGTTGCTAGGATATTTGTGCTTGAAATGCAGTCATTAAACTCTGTTCTCTATTCTCCTGTCCCAGGGGGTGTGTTTTTCTCTCGAGACCAAATTTTGCAGTCCCTGCTGAGCTGTCTGTGGGAGAGAGAAAAAACAGGCTGCCCTGGTCTCTTCATGCAATTTAATATTTAAGTATTCTACTCAAGAAAAGCCTTAATGGAACTACTGTTTTTTTTTTCTATGCTACACTCGCGTAATGCGAAGAAGATAAATTGGAATAAAAAGATAAATGTTGTCATGTTGCAAAAGTAGTAGTATTTTGAATTTGCCAAGATTGTATATTTTATCTTAAACAGAGACTCCAAGTTGGGATTCACAGCAGTCAATCCAATATTTGTAACGGGCTGCTATTCAAGAGTGCAAGGGTCAGTTCTAGGACCACTGTTGTTCACTGTTTTGTAACAATTTAGATACTAGAATCAAACCACAATTACAAAATTGTGGACACCACCAAATCAGGATGGATGGACAACACCAAGGAAGATTACACGAAACAAATTACTAAAGCTACAAAATGAACATATTATCGGCAGTTATGTCATGGTGTATTAGTAAAGATCATCCAAGATTAATTTCTCATCCACTTGGTGATAATAGACACTGTGGATGA